AAATATTGTAGATTCCACGAGGGCCCCCATACGTCCACGACTGATTCAGGGTAGCAGACCGTGCGTCGAATGTTAGCTGACGCCTCGCAAACCCAGCGCCTCTCCTGTTGAGAAGTCAGACAAAGGATGTCGGACACTGTGATTCCATGGGAGTTGATTGTTTTGAGGCACGGCTGCCAACAAATTTTTATTCCACTCACTCCTGGGGTTTCCAAACGGTCCTAACAGTGGACAGTATTATTCACCTTAACTTACAGTATACAGTAATACACTGATGGCACCGTGTGAGAGGTGCCAGACACTGCCAGCCGCGGTGGAGGTCGCGACGTGGGAAAGGGATCGGTCGACCAGTCAGCAGCTGAGCCGGAGAACTTGATACCACGATTGTCCAAGAAGCTGCGGCTTTGGGGGGTTACCCTTTTGCAAGACATGGAAAGGTACATAAAGATACGATAAATTTCTGGAAGCCAACAGAGCAGGGTTGGAAGCTGATCTTCTTGTATTGGTTGGCCGGTCCATGTCGACAACCCTTCCGCAGTAGAGAGATTCTGGGTAGACGGAAATCGTTTGTAAGCAGGGCGCCAATGGGACCCCCAATGAAAACACATGCCATGTTGGGTCGTTCATGGAAATAGTGTTTCATGCCTGCTTAGTGTTTAAACACAAAATTGGTGTGCGACAAATCAGACGGTTGTAGGGTCTGGCCTTGAAAAAATCGCACCTTCCAGAAAATGGGGCCCCAGGAAAGTACCTGTTTTTTGTTTGAATACTGCGGTCAATTACTTTTCTAGGTTACTTTGGAGGGTCCAGGCAGATAGAAAAGTAGATCCACACTGAACAATATATATAGGAATGTCTCGGAGACCGTGCCTATATTTGAGTTATAAGTATCTGGTTTTTGGTATCGGATCATGTCCCATGTTTGGAGAGGGCGACCGAAGTCAGGGGGGTCCGTTAAAAGACCGCAACCGGGGTACCAATTCGATGGCGTCGTTCTAAGAGGTTTTGGTCCTTTTCGTCTGGAGTCTGGTTGTGACAGTTGTGACCGTTCCCGTTTTGTTACGCAGTAGAACACCATCTTCTCCCGTGGATGATGCTGGGGTTGGAGGGATCACCTCAAAATCGAATTAGAGCATGTTGGAACCATAGAATCCATGTAGGTGTTCATCAATATCCATAGGTCTTCTTTCAGAACCACATCCATTTAGGAACCGACTTCTGGGACATCGACCCAAACAAAGAGAACCTGCGAGGTACTTACTCAGGTCGTCTCCAGGTTTCGTATGGTTTCTTGTTTCTCGGCTGGAGGCCAACGTCGGTCCTTATCTGACGATGCCACTCGGTCCTGCCGTTCGGTTCTGCGGCGCATGCGTTTGGTGGGGGAAGAGAGAGAGAGAGAGAGCCAAAGCAGGTGTTCAAATTGCAAAAAACAGTTGCAAATAGCTGGTTTTCTTTGGGAGGAACATCTAAACCCGATTAAAGAACACATGTGAATAGGTTGTTTACACTCCAAATATATAGATATGATGTGTCTTTTTATATGAATATGTGTGAATCAAGAGCTTGCATCATTTTAATAACCTGCTGTCCGACCTGGACACTCAAAGATATTGAAAGGATCCGACCAGATCAGTCCTGGACGAGCTCATCGCTCGGGGATCCAGCCAAGGGGAAGATGGATGGGACCTGGGGATTGAATCCTCGGTTGGAAAAAACAATAAGGGGACCGTAGTTATGGGTTTAGTTGGCAAGATCATGCTCCAAAAACTGGATAGCAATTTGCTTTTTGTGTTGTTGTGTTGTTCACTTAAAGCTGGTTCATGCTGGTTCCAACAAATTGAACCTTTTGCAACCCTGAAACTTGTAATCGCGCACAGCTCGGTCTTTTCTTGTTGAACAACCCCTCAGCACGGACTGCGACCAGGTGAACCTGTGACTACTCACCTCGATATGCATAGCCCCCAAAGATATCGTGTCAAATCTGAAGAAATTGAAAAGCAAAAAACCAGGAACGCCTCCGAACTGGAGTGGGTCCTGATATACTTAGTACTTTCGAGAGGGTGAGACCCTGGCTTCCACCCTCTGAGTCGGCAACGTTCGAACACACGAATCGCCCCTCCGAACTGGAGTGGGTCCTGATATACTTAGTACTTTCGAGAGGGTGAGACCCTGGCTTCCACCCTCTGAGTCGGCAACGTTCGAACACACGAATCGCCCCTCCGAACTGGAGTGGTCCTGATGGGGCGATTCGTGGGTCATCAAAGGATCTTTCATTGACATAAGCGGATGAACATGGATGGACGATGCAAGAAAAAAGAGCTGAACACTGCCCGTAGTTTGCTGGGACCAAATTAAATTGTAATTGTCCCCTAAACCCCTGTGGGCACAATAGACCTTTGCAGAAGGTACCGAGACCCTCGAAAGCCCCATCTCATGAGGTATTGGATCCTCCTGATGCTACACATTTGCATCTTCAGTTTCGTGCACTTGGCACATCCCAATCCTCCATTGCCCAGGATAGCAGCACAGGCCCACGCAAAAAGAAAAAACGGATCGCGCGGAAGTTGCTCCTTGGCACAGCTCTTTAAGTCGGATCCGGTGGTTTTTGATGGTTTGAGTGCCAGTTTCAATATCCCTAGGGATCCAAGTACCTCCTCAAAAGGTACTTGGACCCTCCAAACCCACCCCAAACACCTTCTCAGAGGGTACTTGGATCCTTAGGGATAAAGTATGCATTGCATTGACGAATTCTACTGTCAGCACGCATGATTCGTCCCACCCCACACCAACCCGCTTTGGATTCTTATTGGGGTTTGGTGGGTTTCGCTGCAGACATGTCACACCCATGGGGCTGCGAAGTACGACGAAACACCCGTTGAACAGATCATCGAGTCCATCGTCGGGCCCTAATATGTTATAGATATATAGACCTGGAACCTGAATGACTTTGTTTTGATAGGAAAAGACCTTATTTTGAGTGTTTGGTGGTGAAAAATAGCGGTCATACAGGTTCTAGGGATATTTATAGAATCGGTATCCGATCCCTTAAAGAGCCCATGGCAAATCATGTCCAAGCCTGAAAGGTCCCTTTTGTTATTGGGAACATTGGATGAACATTGGTAAATGGAGCGGCCCCCAAATACACTATTTTTGGGGGGAACCTTTAGTCTCTTTGTTATTGAGAACATTTGGTAAATGCAGAGCTCCCACTATTTTGGGGGGAGGGAGACCATGAATCACGGACGTACATGTATCATAGGTTGATGGCCGACCAGGGTTTAGACTCGTTTCTTGTGAGCGTGGCATTAAGTGTGCTTGAACGAGACGACGTTTTGGGGTGAGTGGATGGTAGAGCATGGAACAGCCAAGTGGAAGAAGTCAGCAGTGCCCCTTTCGGTGGCAACATATTCCATAGTATTTTGGGAAAAAGGACTTGCACTTGCACTTCCACATGTCCCCCCATTCCAAGCTGTCCCATGTTGTTACACCAATACGCACTGAACACATTGCGGAATCACTCTGTTCCCCAAACAGTGTGGACACACTATTATAGGGCCTCTAGGGGTTCTTATACGGTATAGGTGTTAAGCACCGGTGCTAGATTCGAGGTGTTGCGCGGGCGCATCCGGCTAATTCGCTGCTATTTACAGTACATTCATGCCTCTCAAGATCCTCGAAGTGCATTTCGACTGCGCAGAGTGCTTGTCGCGACTGCGCTCTCGTTGTGGCACCGTGCACATTTTCGGACATGATGGTCACTTTTCGTGACAGGTGCAAGGAATTGGAGCGGCTTGACTTCGAAATGTACACGGTGACGATCTTCGAGGCCCTCTGATTTCGCGACAGGTGCAGCGAGTCGTGACTTTTGGACATGTGGCTCGTTTGCAGATTTCGTGGCACGCGCAGCACTTTTTGAAGTGCAGATTTCGTGGCAGGTGCAGCACTTGGTGACACTCGATGTGCAGACTTTGTGGCAGGCACAGCATTTTGTGAACCTCGAAGTGCAGAGTTTGTGGCAAGCACAGCAATTTGTGAACCTCCAAGTGCAGATTTAGTGGCAGGCGCAGCACTTTGTGAACCTCGAAGTAAGTGGAGATTTCGTGGCAGGCACAGCACTTTGTGAACCTCGAAGCGCAGATTTCGTGGCAGGCGCAGCGCTTTGTGAACCTCGAAGTGTTTGTCTTGGAAGTGCAGATCACTCATCGCCACAAGGGCCCCTCGAAAACTGAATCAAACCAAGAAGAAGAGGTAGCTGATCCCTTGCAGAAATTCATCAAACGTCCACGGGAAAACTTGAAAAAATTGTCAGGCTGAAGCAGCAAAGCATGCAATTCTTCAATCAGCTCTCTCACTCACACCCACTCTCACTCTCACTCTCTCTCACTCTCACACTCTCACACTCTCACTCACTCACTCACTCACTCGCTCACTCACTCAGTCATGCAGTGATTCAGTCAGTCACTCACTCAGTCACTCAGTCACTCACTCACCCACCCACTACTCCACTCACTCCACTCACTCTCACTCACTCTCACTCACTCTCACACTCTCACTCACTCTCACTCACTGTCACACTCTCACTCACTCTCACTCACTCTCACTCACTCACTCTCACTCACTCTCACTCACCCTCATTGTCTTCAAAACATGGGTGAGTGCTTCACAGTTGGCGTGAATCAGGACTCTGCATGTTATTTGTCATGCAACTGGATTGTGACGGCATCACGGCGACAGGCTTGTGACACGACACTGCTTGTGATAGAACCTGTAGTATATGTACAGTGTAACAGTCAAGTCACTTCAGCTGGGCTGGGCAAGAGCGCTTCTTTGCTGTTGTGGCTTCATGGTTCACACAAGTGTGGTTGATCAAGCCATTGGGCTACGGTTTTTTGTCATTACCTTTTGCGCACAATCGAAGACGGATTTGTTCAGCGCTGGCAGCCATTGTGGATCTTTTGAAGCCTTCTGTATTTAGGATGCCGCAGTGTGTATGTGCAGCAATGGGTGTGTCCAAAGACCAGACAGATCATTTAACGCGCATGGATAAGCGCCCATTGGAAGAAGGTGCGGACAGTGCTGGACACGAAGAAGTACTACATTTGCAGGTGGATCAAACGAATGGTGAGAGCTCTCAAACAGAAGGGCAACCAAGTTCATTAAGATCCACCTTTGCAAAAGTGCGAGGGTTTGGCAGGACATTCAACAGATCCTTTGCTATCAGTTATTAGTGCGTGCGCAAAGCACAAATGGTATTGTTGAAGGCAAAGCAACGCAGAAACTGATATTGTTGAAGCCTATGTACTTGGTTCATGTTTCTTGTGTTGTGTCCTTTGGCCGGCTAGGCCAAAGGCTTCGAGCTTGCGTGTGAAATGGCTTTGGAGCTTTGGATGTCCTGTACATGTAAAGAGCTGGTGTTGCTTGTCATCACTGCAGCGGGATTGCGAAACGACACTGCTTGTGATATAGAAGTTATCTTCTTGTCATCACTGCAACGGGATTGTGAAACGACACTGCTTGCCTTATAGAAGTTATATATGTATAGTAGCAGTCAAGTCACTTCGCAAGCACAAAACACTGACACAACGCGCAAATCACTGCAGGCCTGGAGCTATAGTCAGCCACATTTGACATGGGCGTGACCTATACTTGATAGAAATGATGCTGACGTATACTGCCCAAGCACACAGCGTGAACTTTTTTTGTTGGCCATGAGCTCGCCAGCGGCTTTCTCAAAGGCTTCCGCTGCTTCTGCAGGGGCACCCGCTGATTGGAATATCGGCGACGCTTGGAAATTGCTGGAGCATCCAAAGGTGGAACCTGTGCCTCCGGTGCTTCCAGATGCCGGCTCGAAGCTACCCTCCGTACGCATGGCAGCCACGAGGGTGCCTGTCATTCCACACTGTCAGCGGCACTGGGGTTTCATTTTTGTGAATTCCGCAGACACTCACTCACTCACTCACTC